CCGGAGCGGGCGGCGCAGGCCGGCGCGGCGAGCAGCAACCATGTCGATGTTCGGGAAGCTGTTTGGGGCGGGAGGGGGTAAGGCTGGCAAGGGCGGCCCGACCCCCCAGGAGGCCATCCAGCGGCTGCGGGACACTGAAGAAATGCTAAGTAAGAAGCAAGAATTTCTGGAAAAGAAGATCGAGCAGGAGCTGACAGCCGCCAAGAAGCACGGCACCAAGAACAAGCGCGGTGAGTAAACCCGGCCCCCTAAGACTCCCCTCAGCTTCCCGGGCCCGGATTCCACCTTCGTCGGACGCACCCCAGGGCCTACTTGGATCCCGTAAATCTCCCACGTCAGACTCCCTGCCGTGACTTTCCGGGTTCTGGACTCTCCCTGTCTGACTCCCTTCAGCGTCTCCTCGAACCTTGGGCTCCTCCACCATCAGACTCTCATTCCAAACCCTCTCTTCTCAGGCTCTCCCCACTCTTATCAGGCCCCTCCAGACCCTGTTTTCACATTTTCCTCCGCCCTCCCTCTATTCCTTTCTTTTCCGTCTTTTCCTCCTCTCCTCCCTTTGGCGTGCCCTCACCCACCTTCCCAGATACTGCCACCTCCTCCTTCTTGGCTCATTTCTGCCCCCATCCTAACACTTTTACCTTCCTGGTCCCACTCCTACCTTCTGTGTACCCCTCTGTGAAGTCCATGAGCTGTCTCTGGCCTCTCTCCACCCCTACCCCGCCCCACAATTCTTGAGAAAGCTTGAGAGCAAAGGGGACTGGGAGAGAGGAGATCCCCCTTTCCAGCTCTGTTCACTTGCTGAATGAACTTGAGCAAGTTACTTTTCCTCTTGAGGTCTCATTTCCCTCCATCCATCAGCCAGAGATTGGCCTCCATGACGCCTGAAGTGCCTTCCAGCTCTGTGATTCACTTCTTGTTGCTTCATAGCCAGGTGTTATCTGGAGTTTCAGCAAGTCCAAGCCTTCATTCCTGTGACTTACAGCTTCCTCATTCCTCTATAACAAAAATAAGGATTTCATTCCTCCATTTGCCCGGACTTCTCTCCAGTCCCCAGGGCAGGAATATTGAACCTTATGGCACTCTACTTCTTTTGGTTGTGTGTGGCTTTCTGTGTTAGTGCTTTATATTCTTAAGTGAGATGAATGTGGAAATGCTTTAATAACTAAAGCAATTTAGACATATTTAATTTTTCTAGCTATTAGCAATATGAGAGTGAACCAGAGAGTAACAGCCCTCCCCTTGAAAGGGGTTTAGAAGCTGTACAAACAAGTACTGGACTCAGAAGTCTGGTAGTCACTAGTCATGTGACCTTGAGCTAGTTAATTTACCTCTCTGAAAGGAAGATCATGAATCTACAGTGCCCAGCACATAGCAGGGGCTAAATGGATATTTTCTTAGTTCTAACAGAAGAACAAAATAGCTCATCCTGAGGATTCTTCACTGTTGATAGTCAACAAATCCTCCAGAAAGTCTTTTTATGTGCTTACTGCATGCACTGTATTCACAGGGTGAACAAAACACAGCTTCCACCACCCTAATGAGGGAGAAGACAGAGCCAGGAAAATGAAGAAAATATTGTCTAGTCATGATGAGCTAAAAAAAAAAAAAAAATCTAATGGGGAGTGATGGGGTGGGAAGGGGTGCCACTTTAGATAGAATAGTCAGGAAAGCCCTTTTTTAAAAAGTAATGTTTGAACTGAGCCTTAAAAAGGAACCAGCTCTGTAAAAATCAGGGGAGAGGTCTTTCAGGTCGGAAGAACAGCATAGGAACAGGCCCAGAGGTTGTCCTATTTTAAGAAACAGAAGACCTTTGTTTCTGGCATGTAGTGATTCAAGGGGAGAGTGGTATGACATAAGGGAGTGGGGAGTGGACCTTGAACTTCCTGGTAAAGAATTTGGATTTTATTCCAAGTGGATGGAAAGCTATTGGAGAATGTTATGCAGGAATGTGTCCTAATCATTGATACAGTTTTTAAAAGCACCATCTGGCTGCTCTTTGGAAAGTAGACCAATGGGGCGGTGGGTGAGGGTTGGAGCTGGGAGACCAGTGAAGAGGCAGTTACAGTCATCTGTTTGTGACCTGGACTCCAGTTGTAGCTCTGGAGATAGAGAGCAGAGTTAGATTTTGCTGTCTCTAGCTTTTTTCTTTGATGACTCTCTCTGAGTCAGGATCCTCTGTTCATGGTAATTAGAATCATTGTTTTTACCAGTCTGCATTTGGGGATGTTTTTCCCATTGTAGGGTGGTGAAGGAGGGCATCAGTTTACCTCATCTTCTATCTGAGGGCAATTCTCCTGTGATCTGGAGCTAGTTTAGTTTCTGCAATTTTAGAAGTTACCGAATTGGCTTTCAAGAGGCTTGGAGAGAGACTGCTAGCAGACTGTGGAGGACCAACCTCAGATAGTTGTAATAACTTTGCCGAAAGCAGTCTATCTTCTTGAGTTTGCCTGAGAGGACAGAAGCTACAGCCCTTCTTTTTAATGTCCTCTGAAGGAAAAGGTCTTATCTGCTTATTGGGATAGTGCTGTGAGGTGTTAACACCACCACCAACATACCACTCATTTAGTCACTTATTGACTTGATACTGTGCTGAGACCTAGAGAATCAGAGATTAAAATGCACTGTGTCTGCCCTCCAGGAACTCAGGATTGGAGGTGCGTAATTTCGTTTTGTTGAGTGTGTGAGTGGGCGGGGCGGGGAGGGGTGAGGGTGGAGTGGAGGAGAGAAGGGAGCTGGGGAG